TCCAGCTCTAGAAAATTAACGTTGGGTAGCAGTTCTTAAAGCTGGTCCTTAGACCAGCTTCATCACCTGGGAGTTTGTTAAGAATGCACAGTCTCAGGTCCTCTCTTGGTCTACTGAACAGAAACTCTGGGGGTGGAATCCAGCAATATGTCTTACTTTTTAAAAGCCCTCCAGGTAATTCTTATTTCTTGTAGAGAACTGACCTAGGGAATTTACTAATTAAAAATTTAGAATTGCCCTTTGAAATATGTTTACAGAGAATTAGTTTATTGTGGATGTTTTGTTAGTATTAAATTTTCAAATTGTTTTATATGTAGAAATGAAGAAATCTCAAAATCTATGGGTAAGGAAAAAAAATCTCACGTGGGCTAAATCTCATGGGCTAAGTGTGCCACAGATCAGATCTGTGGAATTATGTGGCCATCAAAGGAGATCTTTTAAGCTTGTCAAGTGGATTTGTCATTGGAACTTGAGGATTTTGAAGTTAATTGTGGTAAAAAAAAAAATGAGTACTGTTTAGTTAAAATAACTGCTTTTCATTACAGATTTTATTTTCTAGTCAGTGAAAAGAAACTGGTTCGTTTCAGGAAGACATTAGCTTTGTAAAACAAATTAATAAAATGCCAATTATACATTTAATTCTATTAGAAGGAAGTGACATGACCGTTTCCTTCCTTCAAAAATAAACATTGAATATCTTCAGGTTATCCTTTGAAACAGTGGTTTTGTCACAGTTGCGGTACAACAGAATTCCCTGGAGGGCTTGTTAGAACACAGACTGCTAGGCCCCAGCCTGTTTGTGATTTAGAAGGCCTGAGAATTTTCATTTTAACAAGGTGGCGCTGCTCTGGTCTGGGGACCACATTTTCAGAACCACTGCTTGCTTAGTATTAACACATTTAACTATTCAGGTACTTAGTAACTATCTCTGTACGAGCTCACAACAAAATACCAGATATAGAAATAACTGGATTATTGAAAATTTTATAGGTCAAATATACTAATTTAGTTCTTGAATATTCCTTAGGTCTGCCGCCCAGCTTTGTTCTTTCTTTAGAAAATATACTATGGATGTTAATTCCTGTTTACTAACAAAAAATTTCTTTTTTTTCAGGTCATTTTGTGGGAGAAATGCTTTTAATGACACAGGAAAAAGAAGCCAGAAAACAAATCTTATTTCATTTGTGAATTTATTCCTCCATAGAAACAATTTATGGATATATGAGCAATCATAATACTTGACATTTAAAAAAATATACCTTATAGACAAATTTTCTATGGTTAAAATATCTGAAATAATGCAAACTTTCCATTTTCATTGTTTTTTTTTTTTTTTTTTAAAGATGTATACCTATTCCCTTAGTGTGATCTTACTGGTTAATGTTGGAAAGTATTATGGTAGTAGTCCACAAATACAGAATAACCAACAACCTGCGCCCCCCCCCCCCCCCCGCCCTTTTAACTCCCTGTAAATGGGAATCATTAGAGGGATTTTTACCACCCCATGTAGCCTGCAGTTCTGGGTCAGTCACCAATTAAGGAACTACCCATAAGAAATTTGGCACTGTTGTGAGAAAAATCATGTTTTACTACAGTGTGTATCTTGGTCCAAGGAAAGCAAATAATGGGGGATATGAGCAAGGCAGAGATAATGTGTTGTAGAGAAATGGAAAATTATTTCCTTCCAAATTAAACTGATGCCAAATACTAGATTTAGATCCCAACTGGAGCTCCTCTGGGAGCTCAGGATGATGGACAGTGACTATTTCCCAATTTTGTTTTAATTTGGTCCTGACTGAACTGTGAACCTCATGAAAATTTTCCAGCTTAGTAGTAAGGCTCTTCTGTACTTCAGACCTAGGAATCCCAGATTTGGTCTAAAAGGAGCATTATCTTCAAGTCAGCCCAGGACAGAGGAAAGCAGTGTGGATTCCATCAGTGGTCCTCTGAACTTAACTTAGCAAAGATTTGGGACCAATAAAGTTTTAAAAATTTAAAATAATTTTCGGAGTTTATACAGTATTATGCTGTGAAACATATTAATTGCATGATTAAAGTTTGCAGAACTCTTTATTTTATTATATATTCATAAATCACTTTTGGATATTCTGGTGTATGTGTCCTATTTTTCCCTGGTCTTTGCTAATCATTCTCCTTGCACTTTTCTATTTCTCCGTTTTTATTCAGAGACAATAGACTTTCGTGGTAAATGCTTTAGGCCCTTTCACTGCTAAGGTTCTGGGCACTAAACCTTGTCAGCCCTAGTAAATTCTCATTTAACTTTGAAAGCTACACCTGAGCTTCAAATTGTAACCTCCTGACATTCCACTGAATAAGTTCTACAAATTTTAAGATGGGAATGACCTGAGAAGATAGTGTATGAAATTCAATAATTTCATATTCCTGGACTAAAACCCAAACTCCCCATCTAATTGTAGTTGTTGAACATTTATTGAGTGGTATTAGGTACTTTTGTATGGTACAGGTGTTGCAGATAAAAGAATGTGTAATGTTCTTGCTCCTATATAGCCATACTCAGAGTAGACCAAATCTGAATGGTATAGCTAGCAAGTTAAATTAATTGAGTAACCCAATTACATTGTCCTTATCCCAGTGTACACTGGAAAGGAGTAATGGCTGAGGAGTCATGATTTTTTTTAAGTTAAGATAAAATTGAAGTACAAAGATGTTACTAATTGCTTTTCAGTGAGTCTGGCCAAAGAGTGACACATCCCATTTATGATTATTTCTGCTTAATCGTGAGAGTGCCCGTGGCTTAGATGATAAAGCTCACTTACATACTCTGTATTGCATACACTGGGACTGTGCCAGGAGATGGCTTTGGTTTTGACCTGTAGTACGAAGCATATCTGTAAACCTTTTGGTAAGGGGCTGCTTGAGAATTCCTTTGTTTTCCAGAGAAATCCCTGCTTACACTTTGTACATATTTTACTTAAATGTCAAAGTAGCAGCATTACCTGCAGTATCTGATAGCATCAGCAAGAAACCTCTCTCAAGTGGGAGTCTCGGATTCATGTCCTCTTCATCTTTAAGAAACCAGAACTTTGAGCATTTACCCACTCAAGGACAAGTGTGCTTTTCACCTAACTGTAGAGATGATGATCCAGTTTAGAGCAAAACAACTCGATTAAAATGCTTGGCTGTGGGGCTGGCCTGGTGGCATAGCATTTAAGTTTGTGCACTCCGCTTTGGCGGCCCGGGGTTCACAGGTTCAGATCCCAGGCACACACCTACCCACTGCTTATCAAGCCAGGCTGTGGTGGTGTCCCATATAAAGTAGAGGAAGATGGGCATGGATGTTAGCCCAGGGCCCATCTTCAGCAAAAAGAGGAGGGTTGGCAACAGATGTTAGCTCAGGGCTAATCTTCCTCATCAAAAAAAACAAAAAAAAAACTTTGGCTCTACTAGTTCTTGTAGTAGACACGACTGTTTACAGAATTTATTTGTTACCATATCTGGCACAAAACTGGTAGAAGCCGACACAGACAACTCAAAGGCAGTGTTATCCCATGTTATCTCAAACTTGGATGTTCTCTCCCTGACCCTGTCTCAGCCAAAATAACTTGTCCACTTGCCCTATAATCAACAGCTTCACCTGTTCAAGATTTCTTCCTTGCTGACTTTTCATAGCTTTCTATTTATTTCTCAGCCTAAACTGCTGAAGGAACTGTGTTCAGATTTTCTACTTGGTTTCTCTCCTAGATAACCTTTCCTCCTGGATCAACAGCGTTCTTATAAAGCTGTTATTAACTTAGGCATGATTTTGAGATAAATTATCTGTAAACCTGCTTCTCTTATGTGTATTGGACCAAATACTATGGTCTCTCTTAATTTTCCTGATTGATGCACTTTGCTAACTCAAATCTTGTATCTTCTTTTTTCTAGAAAGCTATGAAATCAGATATAGTACTAGTACACGATTGAATAGCGTTGAAAAAGTCCAATCCCAGCTGTCATTTAGCTGAAAAACTACACAATTAGGATCTACCTTGTTTTGAAGTCCTGAGACTTGAGATACAAAGAAAACAGACCAACATTGTGGTGTTTTGAGAAAACTAAGAAAAGGCAGTTTCAGTATGTAAAAAAAAAGGCTCTCTGAAATGTTTATAAAACTAATTAGGAACTAGACAATTTTATACATATAATGCAGAATGACCATACTAGTTTGTCAAATATTTCTTAACATAAGAGGGAGGCCTGTGGGAAGTCTAGAGCAGCAGTGCCGCTTCCCATGAGGGCCAAGGTGGCAAAGCCCGGCTGGCCTTCCCAGGGTGCAGAACAAGGGCACAGGCACTGGCTTCTCAAAAGTACTTGCTGGATTCCAAGAACAAGGATGAAAGATCACATGTAATATCTCCCTTTTAGGCCTCGTTATGTTCTGGTTTACGTTTTTCCTATATCTTAGATTCTGATTTATTATCCTGTTATCTTTTCAAAGAAGAGGATAACTGCAAATATACAAAGTTATCACCTCCAACTCAGGATCTGTGGCAACTGCATATCAGAAATAGATCAGATCTTCCTCTAACCTGCCTGTCTACCGTGTTAGATTAGTCATACTTCAGGGGCGGCAAATTCACACTTTATTAAGTGCTTGGGTAACCTGAATGTAACATACACTTTTATTTTTTTTTAAACACAGAAATTCACCAGGGCCAGTAAAAAATTTCAAATTAAAAAAAGGCTTTTAATTTTCTTAAATAATCCTCATATGTACCATTCCACATTGTGGAAAAACTGAAATATGCAGCCCTGATGCAACATCAGTATTTCAGGACACTGGCACAGATACTTACATCTATATTTTATAGTATATTAGAATCACCGTGTCCCATCTTACAGAGTCTAACAGATGATAGGCCTTAAACTGCAAGAGGATTACAGATGAAACTTAAAATCTGAAAGTGTTAGCTGTGCCAGGATTCCAAACTGCTTCGAGGAGAGTTTTTAGGAATAGGGCTGAAGCAGCTCCACCCCAACTCTTTCTGTTGGTCACTGCAGCTGCACTCTGTATGCACCTATGAGCAACTTCACCTAGTGAAAGGAAAAAATCGTACATTTATCAGTACAGAGAGAAACACACACGGCCAAGACTTGTTTCTCTTATTTGGCGATATTCTCATATCAGTTATCAATTTAGGTTGTTAGATTATCACTATTTTAATTAAAAATCCAAGTGCTTCTAATTTGACCTTTAGGTTATTAAATAACTGTACTATTACATAGACTACTCTAGTCCAGCTTCATTTTACAAAGAGACCAGCCTAGTGACCAGCCTAGACAGATACATATGGCAATTAAAATACCAAAGCCCAGAACACAACTCAGACTGGTACATACTATACACTATACAAATACTGCATTCTTCTCATTTTTACCATTAGTCCCTTCCTTGACACATTATGTCTAACACATTTTAGATTCAGACAGACGCACCTAGCACTGCTGCCCTAGGGAGCACTTGTCTCTAAGGTACACCAGGAACACCACAATATTCTTGACTTTTTTCCTAAGATAAAGTAATCTGGAGTAACAATTTTAGTAACACTAAATATGATGAAAGGATTTTCACCTTAGCAGAGGGTGCTTCCGTCAACCTTATAAAGAGTTTATTGAGGCCTGCAACGGGGCTGAACGAGTAAACAAAATGACTGTCCTAGGGAAAGAGACCAAAAAAAAGACGTATTTCTTTAGACAAACTTCCACATCTAGGAACAACTAGACTCATGTCTAAGAGTATAACCTGATCTTAGAGACTCTAAAGATGTAGGAGAGAAGTTTTGTATTTGTTTATATAAGGCAAAAGGCTGTGATTTCTTTACTTTTCCCTTGATTTATTAAAAAGATACAAATAGGGCCGGCCCCGTGGCTTGGCGGTTGAGTGCGTGCGCTCCGATGCAGGCGGCCCGGGTTCGGATCCCGGGCGCGCACAGACGCACTGCTTCTCCTGCCATGCTGAGGCCGCGTCCCACATACAGCAACTAGAAGAATGTGCAACTATGACATACAACTATCGCCTGGGGCTTTAGGGGAAAAACAAATAAATAAAAAATTAGAAAAAAAAAAAAAGTTTAAAAAGATACAAATAACGAAAAAGCTTATAAGCAATCTGGAAAAAACAATATCCAGATAAGTCTTGAGGATCAGAAGATATCCAGTCATATACAGCATGAGTGTTAAGAACGTTCATAACCAGTTAATTTTGCTTAATTCAGCCTAAGGAAAGAATTCTAAATGTAGCATAAGGAATCATGCACCAAGATTCTACAAGAGCATTTTTTACGTTAAATTAGAATTTATAGAGCCACTAATAGATTAGTTATTACATATATTTATTTTAAAATGTTCATAGTAGGGCCGGCCCCATGGCTTAGCGGTTAGGTGCGCATGCACGGCTACTGGTAGCCCGGGTTCGGATCCTGGGCGTGCACCGAGGCACCGCTTCTCTGGCCATGCTGAGGCCACGTCCCACATACAGCAACTAGAAGGATGTGCAACTATGACATAGAACTATCTACTGGGGCTTCGGGGAAAAAAAAAAGGAGGAGGATTGGCAATAGATGTTAGCTCAGAGCCGGTCTTCCTCAGCAAAAAGAGGAGGATTAGCATGGATGTTAGCTCAGGGCTAATCTTGCTCACAAAAAATAAAAATACAAAAAAAATGTTCATAGTGAATAAAAATCAAAATTATAATGATTACCTAAAGTTAGAAACTAAGCATAAATACAACTAATGTCATACAGTGATTGTATTTGGGTATTCAAAGCTTGCACAGGTATACTTTTCTTCCTTTTTGAATTTCCTAAATCTTCTTTAAGTGAATGTTTGTAATTATAATGGTGGGAAAAGGCATAATATTTAAAATTAGTATGTTTCTTGTACCATAAGAATTTATATTCAGAATGTTAGTTCTAAGACATTATGGTAAACATACTTTGTGGCACAGATATCAAACATTTAGAAAGATTTTTTGTCAAAAGATTTTTTTGGTCAATTTTTATTGACAAAATTTAGGATAATTTTACTTTATGAGTTGCTACCTCATTTCCAACAATTGGTTTACTGAATTACAATTAACATACTTTATTAAAAAACAGCAATTTAAAAGCTACCTGTACTTTTGATTAAAAGAACGTACTTTGCAGTAATGAACTACAGAAGAACTTACCAGAAAAACAGGAAGTTGAAATTTATCATTTAAAACTACGGCTTGTACACTACATGGTCCACAGAGCCGAGCAATAACTTCTTTACCCAAAAAGTTTGCATGGAAAATAAACAGCAGGATACCAGAGCCTGAATAAGGGAGATGTAAATACAGATTGTAATACCAATCTTAATGGCCACCTTTCAGAGCCTGAGTGAGGAGCAGCTATACAGGTGGGAGGTGGTCCCCCGAGTGAGCCTAGGCAGTGCGGCACCCCACTGTACCCACTCACACTGACCCACCTAAGGATTCTTCCAATTTCAAAACTTGGTGCTATCTAGCATTTCTCAAACCACAGAACCCTTTTTATTTTTTGTCCAAGTAATCCCTACTGATAGCTCACGGAACAGACTTATTATTTTTTTGTGTGTGTGAGGAAGACTGGCCCTGGGCTAACATCCGTGCCCATCGTCCTCCACTTTGTATGGGACGCCGCCACAGCATGGCCTGACAAGCAGCTCGTCAGTGCGCACCTGGGGATGCGAACCTGGGAACCTTGGGCCACCAAGGCAAAGCGCAGGCACTTAACCACTGCGCCACCGGGCCAGCCCCGGAACAGACTATTAAACATGCTTTTCTAAATTAAAGTTATTTTAGTTTAACAAAAAGTGGTATTTAAAAGTTGCTGCTGCATACATGTCTATGGAATCAAAACCATGGACATTTCTGTGCTACTTGTCTTTGGGTGTGGGTTTGAGTGATTTTCCATTTTCTTCCACATACACTTTTGCCTTTTACAAATTTTCTGATTAACATAAAAAAAACCTTATTTTGAAAAAAAAAAAAGCATGAGATTTGAATCTTTCACTCAATATCCAAAATATTCTGCAAGGGCCGGCCCCGTGGCTTAGTGGTTAAGTGCGCGCGCTCCGCTGCTGGCAGCCCGGGTTAGGATCCCGGGCACACACTGACGCACCCTTCTCCAGCCATGCTGAGGCCGCGTCCCACATACAGCAACTGGAAGGATGTGCAGCTAGGACATACAACTATCTGCTGGGGCTTTGGGGAAAAAAAAATAAATAAAATTAAAAAACAACAAAACCCAAAATATTCTGCAACATTCATTTTCTGAACAAAAGCTATACTTATTTTTTAATAATAGAAAACAGATATAAGAGCTCTATGACCTGTTAAACTATTTTTAGCATGATAAAATATTGATCCAGGCCAGTTATAAACAAGAGGAGTCATCAAAGAGATCCCCCAAAGAACCATTTGCTTTATTTATTCTGGTCCCAGGACAAAGGGCATGCCAGGCCCCTGCCTCTTCCACCTCTGCTTTCAAGCTGTTCAAGGCTTGACAGAGTGATTTTGCTCTCCAGCTTTATAATGCAACTTGCCCTGCCTTAGAGCACTGAGTATCAAAAGAAGAAAAGGCCTGCAAATAATGTAGGGACAGTTTCTTCTGTATCCTTCCCTCTCAGCTCCACTATGAAATAGCAATTGGGACAGAGGCTGAGTACAGTCACATGCCACACGACAACATTTCGGTCAACAACCGACCACATATACGATGGTGGTCCCACAAGATTAGTACCATACAGCCTAGGTGTGTGGCAGACTGTACCATCTGGGTTTGTCTAAGTACACTCTATGATGTTCACACAACAAAATAGCCTAAGAACACGTTTCTTAGAACATATCTCCATTGTTAAGCAACAGACGACTGTATAAATTTTTTCTTCAGCCAAACTAGGTGTTACACGTGATGGACAGTTCTTAAGAGCCACAAGCCCCTCAAGAAACTAAGATCTGTGTTTCTCAAACTTCAGTGTGCCAAGGTGTCAACTAAGACACATGAGGTCTGGGTGGGCCTGAGGGTCTACATCTCTCTCAAGCTCCCAGAGCAGGCTGGGGAGACCACACTTTGAGTAGTGAGGGTCAGGAAAATCTATCAGGATCTTACATCTGAGAATGACAAAGCATCTTTGGTAAGATTTCACATGAAGAGAAACAATTCCTGGTGGTCACAAACATTGTTGTGTGTGCAGGAAAAAACTGTAACCCCAAGGCAGTCCAGTTGCACTGAAGCGCACAAACTGAAATGCTGGATGACTGGCCCAGCTCACTGCTTCAGTAAAGGCCCAACCCAGTTCACCAGCTCCTGCACCACCCAGCAATGCAAACGGTCTACTTGAATAGTCGAAACTACAAACCATGCTTCTTCAATGCCAAGTTCACTGAATACTAAGATGTTATGAATGGCTGTCTTTAACAGGTAGGACTATATTTCCTTTAATTCAGTTTTCATTAATGAATATATATTTTTTAAATGCGTAGGTGGGTTTCTTTTTAACGAAACAAAAAAGCCAGAGCCCAGCTTCCTACTTTCAGGCAGAGAAAGCGTTATCTCCACTTTAGATATGCACCATCTGTGTCCTAAACAAGGCATGGTCATAGTCTTGTCTGCAAAGCACTTATTAAGCAGAGAATAGGAAGCAGAAGATAGGAAGCAGAACTGAAGTTTCCATTTCTTGCTACTAAACTTTACTATGGGGCAAGACTTTTTTTTTTTTTCCTTTTAAAAGGGGAAGGGGCTGGCCCCATGGCGTAGTGGTTAAGTGCGCACGCTCCACTGCTGGTGGCCCGGGTTCGGATCCCGGGCGCACACCGACGCACCGCTTGTCAGGCCACACTGTGGCGGCGTCCCATAGTGGAGGAAGATAGGCACAGATGTTAGCCCAGGGCCAGTCTTCCTCAGCAAAAAGAGGAGGATTGGCATGGATGTTAGCTCAGGGCTGATCTCCCTCACAAAAAAATAAATAAATAAAAGGGCAAGACTATTAGTAATAATAAAATTCACGAAAAACATTGATTCTGGGCTTAGAATCTTCGAAGTAAATTTCAGTAAAACTCAAGTGCTAGCACAGTGCTCCGTGGACCCCTCTAAGTCACTTGGGATGGTGGATTATCAGCTAGGTCTCTTTGTTCTGTCAGAGTAGCTGTGCTGTTAACATATTATACACAATGGAATTTTCTTAAGGTTTTGTTCAAAGAGAGTTGTCTAAAAATCAGTTATATTTATAGTGTCGCATTTCAAAGTGAGAAAACATAGGCTTACCTTCTGGTATGTTCTGTGGGGGTTTGTAATTGAAATCTGTTGAAAAATCTGGCCCCTCACAGAGACGATGACATGCTATTGGAAAAATGGGTTCTAGCAGAGCAAGCCGTGCTTCAAAGTAATCCCTTATTGTTTCTTCTGCTACTCTTGAAAGTCTAATAAAAGAGTATAGTAAGAGTTGTTAATATTAATGTAGAAAAAGAACCATGAGTCATAAAATTATTAAACTATTGAATAACAGTGAAGCCTTCCCAGATCAACCTTTAAAAAAAAAAAAGCAACTTCCCTCATCCTGCTTCCCTGCTGTTTTTCTTTGGCACTCAGTATCTGACACACTATATATTTGTCTGCCTTGCTATGTCCTCTCATGGGAATTGAGGCTCCAAGAGCGCAAGTCTTTTCCCCCATTGCTATCTCCATCTCCCCAGCCTTTTGAATAATGCCCAGCACACAGACAGTACCTACTACATATCTGTCGAATGAATGAATGATCAATTTGGAGACTCAGAAATGAGAATTCCATTAAGAAATAAATCGAAGAATTGCCACACATACAAAAAGTCTTGTTACAGTACTTAGTTTAGAAAGCAGTCAAATAAATGATTAGTGCTGATTGAGAAAATATTTTTAAGCTATTTTGCTGGGAAGGTAACCAGCTCTTCTGGTCTGCCTAGGATATTCTAGTTTTAGGCGTGTAAGTCCAAAGTCCCAGGAAACTCGTTCGTCACGGTTTTAAAAGAAAGTTCAGCATCCCAGGAACCCCTCAGTCTCTGGCCAACCAGGAAGGCTGGCTGCCCAACTTGCTGGCTATCTGTAACTCTTACCCAGGTGAAGAGACTGAGATGAGTTCACTTCCCAGGATTCCTTGCAGCCATGAAGGCTGGTCACAGACATGCACAGAAATTACTGATTGGATGAGGCTCCCAGCAAAAGCTGTCAAAATGGGCAGACTCACCAGGGCACATGCCCTTTCTCTGACCTTTGCCTTTTTTGCCTCGTCTGAAATTTACCTTACCTTCTGCTTAGAATATAGGTCCTACACCTGGAATTGGAGTAACCATCTTGCAAGCATGAAGATCCAAGTCATATCCTAAGTATGGTAGATGAGGAAGAGAGGGGAAGAGTGGCTATTCCTGCCCAAGGCTGCCCACCCCTGAATTCCCTGTTATGGGAACAATAAACACCTTATTTGTGTTAGCTACTGTTTGTCAAGTTTCTGTTATGTGTGGCCAAAGTAATTCTTAAGTGATAAAAAGCTATGAAATTACTTGTATGAACTTCTAATAAAATGATTTAGAATTCATCTGAAAAGGACTGAACTTGAGTGGATAAACTAATACATCCACACAATGGAATTCAGCGCTAAAAAGAAAAGAGCTATCAAGCCATGAAAAGACAGAGCATGCATATCACTTAAGGCATATCACTAAGTAAAAGAAGCCCATCTGAAAAGGGCAACACTATGGAAATAGTAAAAGGATCAGTGGTTTTCAGGGTTTAGGGGACAGGAGGGATAAAGAGGAGGAGCAGAGGATGTCTAGGGCAGTGAAACTCCTCTGTATGACACTGTCATGGGGGATAGGTATCATTATGCATTTGTCAAAACTCCTGGAATGTACAACACCAAGGTGAACCCTAATGTAAACCACGGACTTTGGGTGATTATTTGTCAATGTAGGTTCACTGATTACAACAAATGCACCACTCTGGTGGGAGGTTGATAATGGGGGGCCGTGCATGTGTGGAAGCAGGGGGTATAAGAGAACTCTGTACTTTCTGCTCAATTTCACTGTAAACCTAAAACAGGTCTAAAACATTATGTCTGTTTAAAAAAAAATGAACTAAAGGTTAAATGGTTTTAAGAAAGTCTTTGTTAGCCACATTAAGGGCATAACTGCAGTTTTAAGGAGATACTCCTAGATAGGACAGTGTTAAGTCTGAAGGTTTCTAAGACCTCAATAACTTGAAGAAAAATAATTCATATGCCACTTATTGAATTCATGATCTTTTGAGAGCAAAAACCCACCAGGACTTCTACTTGACAGTCTTTTTCTGAGCAGCTCTACACAGGCCATTCCAGTTATGATGTGTCCACAGAGACATTAGACTCTGTGACTTAACTATGGCACATTCACTTCACACTTACGTCTCTAAGTGATTCTTCAGCAAGTCGTACACCAGCACGTTGTTACACTGCTTTGCAAAATGCAGCGCGCTGTTCTGGTGCTTAGACAAAATATTGCAGTCAGCTCCACATTCAATCACAAGTCGTGCGATGTCTGAGTTTCCTCTTTTACAGGCCTAAGTCAGGAAAAAGGAGTAATAATTACCCCTACAATAAGATAACCACCAGTCACCGCCTGTCCTTTTGTCCACACATGAGCCTGGGAGTTCTTTGTGAAGAGAGATGGGGAAAAAAGCCAGGTCATGCTTCCTGAGTGTTAGAAACTGTCACATAAACGAGAATGGGATGCTCCTTTTACTCAGTGAACAGTACAGAAATCTGTGTGCTACATTCAATTAATTTCTTCCCTGATTCCTCAGGAAATGGGCAACTTTGAAAAAGATGCTTCTGTTTCAAGATAGAAGAAACACTAGGCCTTTCTAAGCTCTATTGCACACTGTGTTCATCCACATCCTGTGTCCTGTGAACCAATATCTTAGCAGAGGCACCCAGAAGAGAAAGCTTGCCCATCACTCTTAGAGAGGTTAATAAAGATCCTCCTAGATTATGACTGGGTTAAGTCTCAGTAAACCCATAAGTTGAAAATATCATAAGTCGAAAATGCATTTAGGGCCGGCCCTGTGGCTTAGCGGTTAAGTGCGTGCTCTCTGATGCTGGCGGCCCGGGTTCGGATCCCAGGCGCACACCGACGCACCGCTTCTCCGGCCACGCTGGGGCCGCGTCCCACATACTGGAGGGATGTGTAGCTATGACATACAACTGTCTACTGGGGCTTTGGGGCGAAAATAAATAAATAAATCTTTAAAAAAAAAAAAAAAAAAAAAAAAAAGAAAATGCATTTAATACACCTAACCTACTGAACATCACAGCTTAGCCTAGCTACCAAAATGTACTCAAAACACTTACATCAGCCCTACAGTTGGGCAAAATAATCTAACACAAAGCTTATTTTATAAGAAAGTGTTGAACATCTCATGTAATTTCTTGACTACTGTACTGAAAGTGACAAGCAGAATGGCTGTCTGGGTATAGAAAGGTTCTAAGTGGATAGGTTGTTTACCCTCGTGATCACAGGGCTGACTGGGAGCTGCAGCTGCTGCTGCCCAGCATCATGAGAGAGCATCGTACCGCACAGCGCTAGCCCAGGAAAGATCAAAATTCAAAATTCAAAGTACCGTTTCCACTGAAAGCATATCACTTTTGCACCATTTTCGCACCATCGTAAAGTCGAAAAATTGCTAAGTCAAACCATCCTAAGTTGGGGACTGTCTGTATTGGGAATCTCTAAAGTATCTCTTACCATCACAAAATAACTTCAAAACTTTCCTAGTGGGTGATTTACAGGAGACTAATTAAGCATAGACACAAATTTGAATTCAACAAATCTAAGATGGAGCTGTGACACAGTTTAAAGACCTACATCTTTTCTGAAGTAAAAGACCTACGTCCAGGGTTCTCTCCCTGTCTCTGTCACTTACCAGCCACGTGACTTCAGGTTAAGTCCCTTAATTCTGAGTCTCACTGCTTCCATCTGTCCAAAGGGGCAAGACTACTTCTGCCTCATAGCACTGAGGCTGAAATTAAATAATGTATCGTAAAGGACCAGGGCCAGGCCAGTGAGCTTTCCTACAAGAACACAGTGGGAGCCTCCAACCAGGCCATCTGGTCTGCTTTAGCACTCAGGACCAATATTTCTACAGAAAAGGTTTCTAAGTTGTGCAACTGCCAGATCAAAGGGCATGCAGCTTTCTGGGGAGCTGACAAACTGCCCTGCATAAGGCTGTAACCCAGCGGTTCTCACCTGGGGCAATTTTGCCCCCCATGGAAATTTAGGCAACGTCTAGAGACGTTTCTGGTGTCACAACTGGGAGTGGGTGCTACTGGCATCTAATGTAGAGGGTAAGGATGCTGTTAAACATCGTGCAATACACAGGACAGTCCTCATGACAAAGAATGACCTGGCCACAAGGTCAGCTGTGGGAAAGCTGCGCAGCCCTGCTGGGACCAGTTATATCCCCAACACCAGTGGGTGAGACTGTGGTTTCTCCGCCCTCTCACACTCTGGTAAATGACCAATGTTATATATTATTTCCTGAGATGAAAAGGTTTTTATTTCAATTTCTGCAAATCTTTCCCTATGTTTATTTCTTCTAATTCTAAAATTCAATAAAACTTACTATGCTAAATCGTTAAAGCACTTAAAATACTGTTTTTTCAGGAACAAGTACCTAAGTAAGTAAAACAAATTAAGCATGGATACTAGCAGCCTAATTGAGATGGTAAACATGCTTTAAGCTCTTCCCTGGCAAGAAGCAACAAACTCCCTCGACCCGCCCTCCCCGTGGGCACTGCCTTCTCCCCTTCTCAGCTAGGCTCCTTCGTACCTGCCACACCCACCACCCACCTCCGCACTCCCTGCAACCACACACCCTCAGACCCAACACAAACTCCTCCCCGACGAGGCCACCACTACCCTCTAAAGTGCTAGCTAATGGCACTTCTCAGCCCATCCTTTGACATCTGTGCCCCAGTGGACACTGCCAGCCAGCTCTTCTCTGAAGCGCCTTTTTCTCATGGTTCTCTTGATGTCTCCCTCCTCCTCTTCCTCTTCCTTCTCTCGTCTTTCCTATGCATCCTCCTGCCATCTCTGGCCTTTCTTTCCTTTTCAGCTCTCAATGGGTAACCCCATTCTCAGCCCATGACTATAATCTGTGTTGCCTACTGAGGACTCCAAATCTGACACCTAGCCCACAGCTCTCTCCTGAGCTAAAGATCTGCACAGGAAACACCTGAGCATTCCTAGCTCAAATGCAGCTGTAAAAAGCTGAGCACCTGTCTCCCCACCCACATCTGTGCTGTGATTTCTACCTCCTTAAAAAACTGGTCTATCTACTTCTGTCTCCACTGTCACTACCTAGCTGCAGACTACTATTATTTCACTTAATTTTAAGACTCTTCCTATGAGTCTGCAAACTGTCTGTCTTTCTAAACAATCCATGTTCCCTACCGTCCTAGTGGCATTAAAAACAAAGAATCATAACAAGACCCAGCCTTTATTCTTATTATGTCTTTCTCCAGCTTAAACCTTGTAATGGCTCCCAATTGCTCTCAGGAGAAATGACTAATTCCTTAGCACGGATGTAGAGTTTATGTGCTCACTCCCCATGCATACACCATTTATGCTCCAGACCATCTGCTGTTTAGAATGCACAATAAGATGAAGTTTTATTTTTATTTATTTTTTTCAAGGGTGGGGATGTTACTGGAATTGGTCATTTATTTATTTATTTATTTTGTGAGGAAGATCAGCCCTGAGCTAACATCCGTGCTAATCCTCCTCTTTTTGCTGAGGAAGACCGGCTCTGAGCTAACATCTATTGCCAATCCTCCTCCTTTTTTTTCCCCCAAAGCCCCAGTAGATAGTTGTATGTCATAGTTGCACATCCTTCTAGTTGCTGTATGTGGGACGCGGCCTCAGCACGGCCGGAGGAGCGGTGCGTGGGTGCGCGCCCAGGATCCAAACCCGGGCCGCCAGTAACAGAGCGCGCACTTAACCGCTAAGCCACGGGGCCGGCCCATGATCAAGTTTTAAATTCATGATCTGAGGTGCCACCTTTGCTCTAAACATATGGCAATAATAGAAACACATAAGAGAAGGTTAAAATTCAAAAGCAGGACTCCTGAACAAAAGAAACATTTCCATGAACCATTTTTTTTCCAAGAAACAGTTGCAAAACAGAAATACAAGCAGTGAGCAAGGTTTAAACCCCATGTGTGGAAGAAGGCTGAGGGGGCAGGCAATCCAGGCCTTTGGAATACCAGAGACTCAATACCAGACTCAGGGCCAGGCCCACTGCTCACTCGCGGCTGGACTGTGCTCCCTTCCTGACTCACGAAAGAAGGTTGAAAAGACGGACTGCAGACAAACATTGACTTGGGTCAACAGCCCACACAAAGCTGCGCCTCCAGAGGAGGGAGTAAGACACAGCCCCAGACAGGGAACTAAACCAAGCCACTCACAGCTCGGTGTCAGGACCTGCTCTGTCCTAACAGCACCATGGGCCAGGAATCCAGAAGCGCCACAGGAACAGGCTGCACCAGGCTGGCCCCAGAAGAGGCAAACGCAAAACTACTAAACAGGGTGGGGTGATAAAGGGGTGCACGGCGGGGGTGGGGTGGGGAGGTAGCCTGAAGAGCCTTCCATTCACAACTATCTGCAAGCCACACTTCCAGACACACAGGAAAAAATCTGAGGCTAGGGAGATGAATTCACAATATAAAATAATAATGGAAGCACAGCATGCTCGTTTCCACTCCAGGGCTCTGCTCATAGCCTGTTCCAGCCCCGTTTACACAGCCCAGCCCTGCTAACATGTGCTTCGTGTTCAGGACGCAGCTTAGCCACCCGTCACATCCACCCTAAGGCTCGCCTCGAATCCACAAGACTGAGCCCAGTATGGACTTCTATGTAATCCCTCAGCTCTCCGTCACATTACTGATGACACCAAGCTTTAACTGCTTCTTTGCTGGTCTATTTCTCCTCCTCGACAGTGATGTGCTTGAGTCCAGAGACTGTCTTGTTTCCCATCACATTCCCAGCCCCAAGCACACTGCCAGCTGTGGAGAGACTGAGGGAACGAGCAACCCATGTGAGGTATTTACCTTCATTAGAGCGGTCTCACCATTGCTCTGCTGGACATTTACAAAAGCTCCTGCTTCCAAAAGAATAGCCACTGTAGTTAAAAAGTTCTATTAAACAAAAAGAAAAAAGCAAATTTAATTCCCCAAATTCTTTAAGATATTTTTAGCCATCAGAAAAATACTCAGATTCTATCGCAAGCAGGCTGGTGAACACAGCATCCCTGGCTCTTCCCTGTGCAGGTACCCGTGGGAGCTGAAGGCCCCACTGGTCAAGTGCCCGTGCACAGCCACAGACCGTTTTGCCAGTAACCTCAGTCTGAAGTTTAACCCTGGTTTCAACATAAGAACCTCTGCATTACCAATCCTTTAAAAAGACAATATATGGGAAAAGTTTAATTATTAACCAAAAGAAACACTTTATTTCAATTAGAAAAGATTTTTAAAAGATCTAAGATTGAAATCAATATTAGCACCTTAATCAGAGGTCCTTTTTCAATATAAATCACTTTCAACTAGATAAATCACCATTTGAAATGCAATTACAAAGTACTACTGATTTAAAAAAACCCATTTATGACAAGTCACAGATGAACTGAAATATGAAATTTTAAAGTTATGTGACTACGTGACCGTTACATTTCACTACAGAAACAGATTCTGTCTTAGTCCGTGGAGGAAATCCCACAAGACAACGCAATGACGCATTTTCAGTCACCTACCTTCTCTGCTGCATGGATAAGTGCCGTGGTCCCGTTCTTCTGTCTCCCATTCACTTTGGCTCCTTTTCTGATGAGGAGCCTCAGGAGGTCATCTTGCCCTCCTGCTGCAGCAAGCATCACCAGTGTCATCCCGCTCGAATCCTTCATTAGTTTTGGTTAAGAAAAAATGTGAATGTGTAATCAGAAAAATTTTCGAACTAAGTCTTTTCATCTAGGATGTTTCAATGTAAAATCACTAAAATGCATTGATTTAGCACCTACTTAGGTTTTTCACTAAAACATCCTAATAAAAAATCAGAAACTAATAACTTTTAGAATTTTTTTCATATATAAATGTTACCAAAAAATATTACAACTTCTATGTATAAAGTTCTAAAGCACATCAACACTTCGCAAGGTAGAAAATGAATAGTGAATCTTGACGCTATACAAATGGCAAAGGTACTTATCTCACATTTCAGGTCCAAAGTCTCCTTGTGTTCTAGGTGAAACAGGTGAAACTGATACATTCATTATATTCATTTAGTTGGCCCAAAGATATAAGGCTAGAAATGACCACTGGAAGTCACATAAGCCCATTCTATTGATGATAATGTAAAATGAACACTCTCTGGACTAGACAAATGTTGGCCATATAAATGTATTGTTGGGAAGAGAAAGTCTGATTGCTCTCAAGATAAATAAGAAAACTCAGAAGTACAACACAGGACACTGATACGATTAGTTTCTAAGAGGCTATGGATAAAATACAGAAATTAAAGAAATGTGCTTTGCATAGAGATAAAATTACATAAAGCTGACAAAAAATAAAAAGGTAATTATTAGCTAAAATATTTCCCATCACTAGTTGAAACAAACACCATATGAGGAAACCAAACCATTTATTAAATACCATTTGAGAAAACCAAATTCTAATACAGTATGAGTTAATTTGGCTATAATCTAAAAGTCTGGCACAATTTGCCTGTGTGAGCAATCTGAGGAGCACAAATGTAAGTGCTTCCTGGCAGTAGCACTTTAGAGAGAGGCAGGAAGATCCACCACAACTAAGATAACACAGTGTACCACTTCCTCTCCTTTGTAAAGTCTCTTATTACTACAAAACGTGTTACATGAAAAAACACTTTTTCTAACTTCAGAAAGTTCCCTGCAGCTCTATACTTCATTAATAAAGACCAACCTACATACGTATTAAAGTAGAGAGAAAAAAGCATCTGATAAAACCGAACATCCACCCCTGAGAAAAACTTAAGCAGCTAAAAGAAGAAAGGATGTAGAGAAAGATAAAGGCTACCCACAAGAAACCAACAGCATGACCAAAACAAAAACTTCACACTGAGACCCTCAAGGGAGAATCCCCATCTAGGTCAGAGACAGAGCAGGATTGCCTCTACCATCACTATTATTCAAAATGTCACCAATTTCACAAGACCAGAAAAGAAATATTATTGGAAAAAAAGGAAACAAAATAGTTATTTTTCAGCAGATGACCAAATTCTCTACCCAGAAAATCCAAGGCAAGTTAATTTAAAAATTATCAGAGTAAGAGAATTTCATAAAGTGACTAGAGACGCCAACACACACACACACACACACACACACACACACACACACACAGAAATCAATAACTTTACTGCACACATGTAATAACCAGTTAGAAAACAAAATGTGGGGGAAAAGATCATAATGATCATAGTAAGATAACTAACAAATTATAAAATACTTAGGAATATATCTAAAATAAATGTGCAAGAACTATATGAAGGAAAAAACCCATAACGTTTGCTTAAGGGAATAAATGAAGAGCTGAATGAATGTAGAGTTATCATGTTCCTAGATGGAAGAATCAAAATCTAAAAATGTCAATTCTCAGCCAAATTAGTCGATATATATAATGCAATTTTAATCAAAATCCCAATAACTGTTTTGAACTGTAATCCCAAAAGATTAAACCTAAAAAATCCACAACAAAATCAAGAAAACTAAAGAAAATATAAAAACGTTTCCTAAGCAAGACAAGACACCCAAAAGTCATAAAGGAAAAGATCAAAAGATGTGACTACCTAAAAATAAAAATCCTCTAAGCAATAAAAGACCCAAAAAACCCAAAGCCTAAAAACTAGGAAGAAAGGGTTAATATGTCTGCATACATAAACCCTGATAAATCAGTATGAAAAACCTCAGAAGCAACAGAAAGATGGGTAGTTGCCATGAAACATGAGGGACGACACGAAGACGAGGAGTCACTCACACTCCTCAAGGCCACAGAGGTGATGGACAAAACAGAGAGCACAGCGGAACCAAACGGTTACTTTAGGGGCTGGAATGACAGGGACTATGATTTTCTACATTATCTATTTCTACAATGTTTGAATTTTATAAAGTGAACATGCATTACCTTTTATAATTGAAAAAAATAAATAAAACAATTCTTTTAAAAGAGTTACTTTACATCTTCCTTTCATGAGATTTTACAAAGACATATTACCTCTTGGTCCAGGTTATATTCTTCATTTGAATTAAGTGCAACCTTCACAGTAATATAATCCCCATTTTTCACAGCATCCCTCAATAAATCTAAAAGGAAACAAAAGATAAATTAGGTTTTATATATCTAGATTTCATGAAAAGGATCCCCATAATTCCAAAACTACTCACTACTTGGAATTGCATCTGCTGTAGCAAAATTCTCATCTTCCCCATCAAGATGCTTTTGAAAATCTTCTAATTTCATCCATTCCAACTGCAAGTCCATGCCCAAACTCAAAATCTGTTGTCTGGCATCTAGAACACAAAAGAACCTTAGTAAGATACATTTTTATGGATTATAAAAAAATATAATGCAGTTTTATTAAATTGTGGTGTCTTAACCAAAACTTTATATACGCTTTTACATACATCATTATGTAACTGAGTCTTTAATTAAACTTCTGGTTTTCTTTGGGAAGCAATACAAACATCCACATCTCGATGTCATGGTGCTTCAAAGGCATAAAGATAAATTGGTAACCTATTGACTGTAAAACAGTGAAATATGAATTTTAAGAACAAGATTAAAAGTAGCTCAGAGGAAGAGAGAAATCACAGGGATTCAGTAAGAGGACTCTCTAACATTTCTTTCTTTGGTCATTCTTCTTAGATATACATTGCTTTCAATCATTTTATGTTAGGTAAAGTCATTCTAAATGTGTAAACCAGATCTCCATGTAAATAAAAGTCACTGCCTATTGATCTTGCCAGACTCAGCTCCAGCTTCTCCTCCTGGAAGCCCTCTCTGCTGAGTACCCTGCCATGCTTCCACAGCACCGAGGGCTGTATACTGCCCACCACATCACCAAGCAAGTGCAAGCTGCCTCCCTCATCTGTCTGATCCATGGGCTCATTAACACTTGCGATGGACATGTCATCCCCTATTGGCAGTGCAATAAATGAGATGTAAGCATAACTCACTGGAGAGTAACTCAAAATGACTATCCTATTTTAAAAAGTGAAAAGCACAAATATTTGAGTTAAAGGATTGTCACCTAAAACCAACTCCTTAAACTACACAGATGTGAGGCAGTTAACCTTGCCACAGAAGTGAAGTTTGTAAAGACATGCAGAAGGAACTTTTTCCAAAGCTCTGAACTCCAACACTTCTCTGTGCTACCTCCGAGAGCATTCCATCATAGAAAACAGCACAGCCTTTGCAGCTACACATCCTGGATCTGAATCTCAGCTCCACGTTAGCTGTATGTCTTTGTGTAAGTCACATAACTTGCTGTGCCTCACTTTCTGAATTACATCAGTAGTGGTAACAGTAAAAGCAGCTAACATTCAGTAAGGAGTGTTAAATTATTTACATGAATTAATACATTTAATTAATTTAATATACAATAACCTGTAAAGGGATACACATTACAGATGAGGAAAGCAAGGCTCCTACACACACACCAGTAAGTGAAGAGCCATATTTGCACTGAGAAGTATCTGAGTCCACAGCTGGACATCCCCCCACCGTAGCGCAACACCAGAGTAATAAAGAAAGGTCTCAGAAGCAGGACAGATAAACTGAGTTCATATAAACTGAGACAATACCATCTAATTTACAGGACTGTCATGTAGAGCTACAATGTCAAAAGGGCTGTGCTACAGCTCAGACTTCTGTCTCTAATGAAGCCAACTGGTTCAAAATCCTATGCTCATTCCTACCAAGTACTGGATCTTGGATCTTGACTCAGCATTTGGTAGTTTTAACTTTTTCTATTTTTAATAAAAACTCAGATATAAATTAAAGAACGTAGGTAATGAGGTGAACATCTGTGAATGTGGCACTGCCTTGAACAGAGAACCACTCTAGGGCACGTGGCTAACTCACTTCCACCCCATGACACCCGACCACAGCAGTACATCATGTACATCCAGCACGTGGGTCTGTCATTCACTTTCATTTTTTTAAAGTAGTATTGCTATAAATACAGGTAGCCTAAAAAATCTACAGTTAGTTTTGCCTGTTTCTTGGCTTTATAAAAATTGGTATTTGACTGGGCTAAGGGATGCCCAGACAGCTGGTAAAACATTATTTCTGGGTGTTTCCAGAAGAGATTAGCATTTGAATCAGTAGACTGAGTTAACGACTCTTCCGCATCAATGTGGGCTGACATCATTCAATCCTTTGCCTTGCTGAGGAAGGGGGATTTCTCTCTCCTCTTGAGCTCAGATGTCCATCTTCTCCTGCCCTAAGACATCGGAGCTCCTGGTTCTCGGGCCTTTCGACTCCAGAGCTTACACCATTGGCTCCATTGTTCTCAGGACTTTGGACTCGGACACTACCAGCTTTCCTGGGTCTCCAGCTTGCAAAGGGCAGATTGTGGGAGTATTCTAAACCTCCACAACTACATAAGCCAATTCCTCACAATAAATCTCCTTTTATATCTCTCTCTATTCTATTGGTTCTGCTTCTCTGGAGAACTTTGAGTAACACAGTATCACACTGCATTATTGTTTACAGATTTTGGGTACTAATCCTTTGTCTTTCTGCCCTTTTTAATGGTAACTTTGATGAATGGAACTTACTTTGTAGTCAATTTCATCATTCTTTTCTTTTATGGCATTTTTTTGTGTCTTATTTAAGAAATCCTCTCCTACCTCCAAGGTCATACAGATATGATCCTTTATCCTCTAAATGCCTAATATCTAACTGTCCTCTTTATATTTAAGGCCTTACTCCATCAGGATTTGATCTTCATATATAGTGTTTCTTCTACATGGATAACCAATTATCCTCACACCATCTATGAAGAGCTGATCCTCCCTCATGGATCTGTGTTGCCACTTGTCCTCTATCCAGTTTTTATTTTTATTTATTTTGTGAGGCGATCAGCCCTGTGCTAACATCTGCCAATCCTCCTTTTTTTTTTTTTTTTTTTTTTTTGCTGAGGAAGACTGGCCCTGGGCTAACATCTGTGCCCATCTCCCTCCACTTTATATGGGACACCGCTACAACATGGCTTGCCAAGCAGTGCGTCAGTGCGCGCCCGGGATCCGAACCGGTGAACCCCGGGCCACCGCAGTGGAGCACGTGCACTTAACCGCTTGTGCCACCGGGCCGGCCCCATCTATCCAGTTTTTAGATCTGAAAGAGTCTTATTATGAGGTCTCTACTCTGCTGACTAGCACAGCTACCTTCCCTGCGCCAAGTAAATACTCTGTCTACTGCTATAGTTTTATATATAGTCATGCGCCGCTTAACAACGGGGACACGTTCTGAGACACTCGTCATTAGGTGTTACGCAATTTCATTGTTGTGCGAACATCACAGAGTGTACTTACACAAACCTAGATGGTGCAGGCTACTACACACCTGGACCATATGGTACTAATCTTATGGGACCATCTTATACGCAGTCCTTCACTGATCGAAATATCATTATGCTGTGCATGACTGTAGTAGGTTTTGATTACAACTGGGATAACCGGCTATGCCTTTTTCTTTAGTCTTCCACATAAATTTTAGTCAGTATTTGTAAATTCCATGAGAAATTATGTTGAGATTTTGATTGGAACCACAGTGACACTACAGACCAATTTGAAGAGAATGACAAATTTATAAAATTATATTTTCAGGTAATAAAAATGGTATACATAAATTTTAATAACTTTCAAGAAATTTTTATAATTTTCTCCACACAAGTCTTACATATCTTTTTGAAATACACTCTTAGCAATCTTTTAAATGTATTTCTATCAAAAATTATCTTTTTAGGGCCGGCCCCGTGGCTTAGCGGTTAAGTGCTCGCGCTCCGCTGCTGGCGGCCTGGGTTCGGATCCCGGGCGAGCACCGACGCACCGCTTCTCCGGCCATGCTGAGGCCGGGTCCCACATACAGCAACTAGAAGGATGTGCAACCATGACATACAACTATCTGCTGGCGGTTTGGGGGAAAAAAAAAAAAAAAAAAATTTTAAAAAAAAAAAAAAAAAAAAAATTATCTTTTTAAAATTACACTATCTACGTAGAAATATATATAGAAACATACATTATATAGAAATACATATATAGAAATGTAGTTAATTTTTGTATACTGGTCTTATATCCACCTTGCTGAACTCTTAATATTTCTAAAAATTTATTTATAGATTCTTTCAAGTTTTCTACATGTATTATACCATCTGATAATGGACAGCTCTTTTTTGTGGGGGAGGTGGGGCTTCCCTTCCAATGCTTAGGTCTTCCATTTTTAATTGTCTTACTGTGCTGGGTAGACCTTAGCATAAAGTTGAAAAAAGTGGTGATAGAAGGCATCCTTGTATTATTTCTGATTTAAAAGAAATGTTCCCAATGTTTCACCATTACAAAAGATGTTTGCCAAAGGTTTAATGCTCTTTATTGACTGAGAAAGCTCACTTTTATCCATGGTTCGCTAGGTTTTGTTTTTTAAAAACCAAGACTACTATTAAATCAATTTCTTCTTTACTCACTGAATTCCTAAGGAACATCCAACTTGATCATAAGAGGTTATGTTTTTACACATGGTTAGATTCAATTTGCTAATGTTTTGTTTGGCATTTTTACATCTGAGTTCATGAGTGAGCTTGGCCTGTCATTTTCCTTTCTTATACAGTTTTTGTCTGGTTTTGGTACTGAAGCTATAAGGACTCACAGAACGAGTTAGTGTTCTTTGTCTATTTTTAAAGACCTTTTTATAAGTTTGATAAGCTTTTACATATGAAACCATCTGTGCCTGGTGTTAAATTTGTAATGCTATTTTAAATTACTATTTCATATTCTTTCATAGTTAAAGACTATTCAATTTCTATATTTCTTCTTGGGTCAGTTTTGTTAAACTATATTTTTCCAAGAATTTCCCCAATTTATTGCTTTTTCAAATCTCATAGAATTCTTTTATATTTTTAATCTGGATAGAATCTACAATCCTAGATTATAAGAAATTACTCATAGAATTCTTTTATCTTTTTAATCTGGATAGAATCTACAATCATGTCTTTTTTCAATGAAAATATTGTTTAAGCCGTCATTGCTTTTTTTCCTTAACCAACGGTGCCAGAGGCTTGTCTATTCTATTAGTCTTGTCAGTGAACCAACTTCTGGCTTTCTTCATGCTGTCTACTGTTGAAGGAGATCACTGACTGAGAGCATGTGACTGCCAGCTGACCCACGAGCTGGACCTGGGCAATTGGAGGCTCCTCGCCCCTCCCCTGTTCTTGGACTGTATGTTCTGCTCACCATTTCCACCGTAGAAACCGTTTCAGGGATGCAGTCTTGAGAGAGTAAGGTGTTGTTGA